GAGGGCTGCACTGGGATCTGCCCCAGGACCAGGAGAGCTGCACTGGGATCTGCCCCAGGACCAGGAAAGCTGCATTGGGAACTCCCCCAGGACCAGGAGGGCTGCACTGGGACCTTCATCCAAGGGGAAGCCTAAGAGGCCTGTTTGGGTGGCAGCTGGGCTGGAATTTAGGGTGCAGGCACGTTTGCTCCCCCAGAGAAGGGGCAGGAACACACTTACTGCGTGCTGGAAGTCTGTGGACATGCCCATGCTCAGCTCCACCTTGTCCAGGGGCAGGTTCAGCTTCTCGCACACCTCCTGCCGCAGGGACAGCAGCACCTGCAGGGCACCAGGGGACGGGAGAGGTCACACACGTGGACAGCCATGGCAGCTCCGTTCCACTGATCCTGATTCCTGCCTGTCCCTGACATCTCCTCCACAGAGGACCTGCAATTCCCACACTTCCCTCGGAAGCACCATAACACTGTCTGGAGGTTCCCCAGATGTACTGACAACACACAGGAGGCTGAAACCTCACCTGGGTCTCCAGCACAGCAACTGCTGCCCTGCCAAATTCCTGGCTGCAGCTTCAGAGGATGGGTGGGAGCACCACCCTGCAGAAAGAAGCCTCACACCTGCACTGACACTGGTACTGAGGGCTCTGCACAAGGTGCTCCCACATCCTGACAGCTTTGCTTGCACTGGCTCGACCGGGACAGACAAACTGTACCAGGAAACCAGCCCACAGTGGCATTTGCTCTGAGAAAATCCTACCTGGAAGTCAGGATTTGGCCCCTTACTGAGGTCATGCCCGATGCTGCCAATGGTCATCAGCCCCACGAACTCCAGGCTGGGGCACTTGTTGATGACGTGCTCCACAGCAGCCGCGGTGTCCGCGGGGGGAAGGCCGTGCTTGCCTGCAAAGGCACAGCGAGATCAGCCCACGCACCAGCCCAGCCCGCCCCAGCTCCTACCAGGCCATGCACACGTCACAGAGAGCCACTCACTGTCCTCCCCACTGGTGTTGACTTGCACCATGACCTTCAGCTTCTGGGATGACCCTTTTTTCTGCCACGAGCTGTTGACTCTGTCTGCCAGCTTCACAGAATCCACCGTTTCCAACATGAACAGGTTTGGGACAGCTGGGGAGAGAACACAGGCTGAGGGAATTCTGCTGGCACGGGCCTGTTTGTGCCTACAGCAGGCATTTGGGAGCTCATGGGTATTGTTTCAGGGAACCACGAAATATCCTGAGCTGGAAGGGATCCCCAGGGATGGTTGAGTCCAACTCCTGTTCCTGCCCAGACACCAAACAACCCCACCCTGTCCATCCCTGGATGTCCAAACCCCCCTGGAGCCCTGGCTGTGCCCAGCACCCTTGGGAGGAAGAGCTTTCCTTGATCTCCAGCCTGACCCCTGACACATCTGGGCACTGGAAGACTGCTGCCCACATCAAACCAAGCAGCACTTACCGATCAGCTTGTTGACGTTGTTCTTCTGCAGGTGGCCAATAAAATGCCACTTGATGTCCGGACAGGACGACAGAATCTGAAAGCAGAGGGAACGCTCAGGTTGGAACAACAATCCCCTCTTCCCCCACGCAGCACTTCAGTCTTAGTTTGCCCACACCCAATTTCTTTGTTTGCTGACCCTGAGAGACTCAGCTTGTGGTTGTGCTGAGGCTGAGCCTGGAGAGGGGTGGGTTTGTGGCTGCAGGGAATGCTGTCCACAGAACAGCATGGCAAAGCTCTTGTGCAACAGTCATAAAATTATATTTTCCTCAGAGTGTTAACATTTTTTTTCAACAAGGACTGTGCTTCTCCTAAAGAGAGCACAAAAGGCAAAGCACAGTGCAGACAAATCATGACTAAGGCAGATGTATTCCCAGGCTCCTCTGGAGCCAGCCAGGCAGGAGGGGGAACAGAGCAGAGGCACTGAGCCAAGAATAACCCACCATTTATCTGCACAGATAAGGATCCAACCAAATCCCTACCAAACCCCAGGACTTTGACTGAGCAGCTCCTAGGACACAGCTATACATGGTAAGAAAGCATGAAGGGAATCGTGTGCTTACCCTGGAGTCTGATGCCTTTTCCAGCAGCTCCTGAACCTGCGAGAACGAAGGAGAATTCTGTTAAACCCAGGCAGGCAAAGAATTGGTGTCCCTGGGATGTGTGTTCTTGGGGCCAACCTGAGCCTCAAAAACATGGGGCCGGGGAATGATGTGTCACCCACAGAGCCACCCAAACTGGCCTGGCCCAAGCCTCCAGGAGGAATTTCTTCATGGAAAGCTTTGTTGAACATTGGAAGGGGCTTCCCAGCGAGGTGTTGGAGTCCCCATCCCTGGAGGTGTTCAAGGAAGGACTCAAGAGGTGGCACTCAGTACTCTGGGCTGGGTGACAAGATGGGGATAGGGCTCAGCTTGGACTTGATGACCTTGGAGGGCTTGCAATGATTCTTGGATTCTGTGCCCTGTGCAGGGGCCCTGTCCCAGCCCTTCTGACCCTGTCCCAGCCCTGCTGACCCTGTCCCAGCCCTGCTGACCCTGTCCCAGCCCTGCTGACCCTGTGCCAGTCCCGCTGACCCTGTCCCAGCCCTGCTGACCCTGTCCCAGCCCTGCTGACCCTGTCCCAGCTCTGCTGACCCTGTCCCAGCCCTACTGACCCTTCCCAGTCCTACTGACCCTGTCCCAGCCCTGCTGACCCTGTGCCAGCCCTGCTGACCCCTCTCAGCCCTGCTGATCCTGTTCCAGTCCTACTGACCCTTCCCAGCCCTGCTGACCTTGTGCCAGCCCTGCTGACCTTGTGCCAGCCCTGCTGACCCTGTCCCAGTCCTACTGACCCTGTCCCAGTCCTACTGACCCTGTCCCAGCCCTGCTGACCCCTCCCAGCCCTGCTGACCCTGTCCCAGTCCTACTGACCCTGTCCCAGTCCTACTGACCCTGTCCCAGCCCTGCTGACCCTGTTCCAGCCCTGCTGACCCCTCCCAGCCCTGCTGACCCTGTCCCAGCCCTGCTGACCCCTCCCAGCCCCCCGACTCACGTAGTTCTCCCCGAAGCTGCGCTGCCCGTGCCCGTAGGCCTCCATCACCATCTCGGCCGGCTTGGTCTTGCTGACGGCCACGAGCCGCGGCTGCACGGCCGGGAGCCCCTGCGGGAGCAGCGCGGGGTGAGCACCGGGACCTGACCCGGCACGGGGTGAGCACGGGGACCCCAGCCAAGCACGGGGACCCGGCCCAGCCCCGGGCGCCCCGGGCTGCTGGGGGAGCCGAGGGGCCCGGCCCTATCGCGGAGCACCCGAGCAGGAGGGAGCCCTGTCACGACAGCGGGTCCCGCTCCTCTGCTGGGGGCTTCGCACACCCGCGGTGTGCTGGCCCTGGGGCACTGCGGGGCTGTCCCCGCGGTCACCGGTGACCTGTCCCCGCGGTGGGGCCTGTCCCGGTGGCACTGCGGGGCTGTCCCCGCGGTCACCGGTGACCTGTGCCCACGGCGCGGGCCCGTCCCTTTGGCGACGGAGGCCTGTGGCCGTGGCGGCGACCCCGCCCCGCGGGTCCCGCCGGGTTTGCGGTTGCTCCCGTGCCCCCTCACCTGCGGCCGCCGCGCCGCCGCCTGCTGCACCTGCTCGGTGACGGCGCGGAGCGCCGGGCCCAGCCCGTCCCCGGCGGCCATGCCCGCTCTCCACATCCCCCCGCCACTTCCGCCACACCGGCCCCGCCCCCGCCCTCCGCCAATCGGGTCGCTCCGAGCGGCGCCGCCGGCCAATGGGAGCGGCGGGGCGGGGCGGGGCGGCCGCCATGCTGGGAAGGTCTGGGCGCCATGGCGGCGCCCCCCGCCCGGCCTGCCGCGGCCCCGGTGACAGATCCGATCGCTCCGGGCCTCGGTGACAGATCCGATCGCTTCGGGCCTCGGGAACGGCCGCCAGCGCTGCCGCCAGCCCAGCCCCACACTGAAGCCGTTAGCCCTGCGTGAGGCGCCGCCCGGCCAGGCTGTGACTTGCAGTTGCGGCGGGGAAAGGCGTCAGGGAAGCCGGGCGAGCCCCGGTGGTCCCGCGGGCCGGGCCGGAGCGGGGCCAGGCCCCGAGCAGCCGGACAAGGCCCGGCTTTGTGCAGGAGCTGCGGGGCAGAGGGGAACCGCCGGCTGCAACCCATTAACTCAAATATTTGTCTTAATGTGCAGAACTTCGCTGTCCCTCCGCAGGTTCAGTGTTTACACAGCTGGCTAAAAACACCCAGAAGGTTCCTGCCCTTTGCCTGGTAAAACAGAAAAGGATTTTCTGCGAACTTCACCAAATCCGAGGTGGTTTTCACTCATTCCACAGCAAAGCAGGCGCTGACAGACGCGGGAGTCCTTGGACACCTCCGACCCTTCTTCCACCCTCCTCCTCCTCACTGGAAAGGGACAGCACAGACCCACAGCTCCCCACTCGCACCGAGAACCCGGACCTTCCCTCTGCAAAATCCTCTCCTGCAAACACATCCACACCCGACATTAAAGTCCAGCCACAAGCCCCGACGTTAACATTGGAGAATTCTAAAATTGAAGGCCATTTTATTGTCATAGCAAATACCAAAATAAAAAGGCTTTGAATTCGGTACATAAGAAAATCAAAGATGGCACTGGCAGAGCATTTCCATGCTCCCAGGTATCAGCAGTGCCACAGATCTCTGCTCCTTTTGCTACAGAGTGGGTTTAAAGTTCAGCTCTTCATCTCAAGGTTAGAGAAACAGCACAACTTGCCTGCTAAAGAGACAGAGGAATGAAGGTTTACATGGAGAGACTGAGCCACTCTGGAACATTCAGGACATTTTAGAGTGAAGAAACTCAAATGAAGACACAACAATGGATTTTGGCTTGTGAAGACCGATACACTCTCAACTTCGCTTTTGTTTTTTTACTCTTAGTACAACTTAACTAAATTACACTAATACTTTAGCAGTCAGGGTTTTAATTAAAAAAAATTATTAAGAGCTCTTTATCCCAAGCTATGGTCTTGCTGTGAAATCACACATAAAAAAAAGTCTTTATAATACCACTTTGGCTTAGTAGGATCCTTTCATTAGTGAAAAATACTTGTGTAAAAGGAGGGGTTAATTGCTGACGGAAACTTCGAACACGAACATAGAACAGTCTCAAGTGAGCTCATCCTCATGGCTAAACTTCTGCTCTTCCCTGTTATGATGTGCCTGCACAGACCTATTTATGAGTCAGGAATATCACAGCCTCCCTGGGGATGCTGTTGGGTCTGATGTAGGTCTGGAAATGGGATTCCCTTAGTCCCTGTTTTCCAAGAAATACAAAGAGAATCAGTTTCTCCAGCAGAAATACAAAAAAAAATCAGTTTCTCCAGCAGAAACTGATGCTTCATTTCTATTTTGCATTTTCAATCATCAACAGGGAAGATAAAACTGCTGTAAAAACCCTGGAGCCAGCAGCTGAGAGTCAGCGAGCTCCCTCAGAGCAACAGTGATGAAAGTTTGAACACTGAAGGGTGAAACCAGGGGCACTGGGGAGCAGGAATGGGGGGCACGAGCCTGTGAATGCACCAGGCTGCTCTCTGACGAACACTGGCATCACCTCAGAAGAGGATGCTGGCCTCTAATTACATCAGCAATTAATCACCAGGCTCTGCTGTCAAATGCAGATGGATTGGGTAGGGAAAAAAATGTTCTCTCTAGGCCTGGACTTTTACCCTCCAATTCTGCATGTGCGGAAAACAACGCCCTGTTCCCTCCTTGCATCTGGGATGTGAAGAACTGACCAGCTCTCTGGAGGGGAAGATACATTCTGGAACATTGTTCTCAGAGAAAAAGGGGAATCCTTCTTTGGGTAGTTCAGGAAGAGCTGCTTTTCTCTGCCCTGTGACCTTTCAGGATCATGGTTTGTCCTTGGCCAGTGGGAAATCTCCTTTCCTCGAGGTCCATTCAGCCCCAACGCCACAGGAGCTCAGCTCTGCTCACCTGCAGGTCCTTTTTCTAGTCAGACACTGTAAACACTGAGATCCAGCTGCTCCCACAGAGCAGACAACAGACTGAAAAACTGTCTGGTCACTCCAGCAGCTCCTCCCCAGCAAGGCCTTTTGTAAAGTCAGGGTCCCTGAGACAAAAATTCTTTCCTCCCTGGTCTTCTGTGAAAATTTCCATCATTTCACTGAAAATCCCACCCAGCTCTGCACTCCAGGATGCTGCCCATGCCCTCCCCCAGCAGCTGAACTGCTGGGACAACTCTCCTACAAAAACACGACAAATGGAAAGCAAAGCAGAGTCAGGACACAGCAAATGAAGAGTTTGGGTCACTCCCTGCGTGACGTGGTCTAAGGCTTCGATCCCCCCGTGGGTTGGAACCTGCAGGACTCCAGCTGAGCCTCTGTCCTCGTGGGGTCACCTCATGTGGGCTCAGCAGCCATGGGCCACTGGCCCCAGCCTCGAGCAGCCACTTGGATGTAATGTACAAAATCTAGCACCTTATCTTCAGAGAGGATTGAAATAAAGTACGTGAAATTTTCAGTAAGAAAAAAAACCCAAAACAAGTTGTAGCAGCAATTCCCCTCCCTCCAAAACCTCAACATTTCTTTACCTGCAACTGCTATGAACCACCTCAATCCCAAATTAGGTTCCCACCCAGCTGATAGCCCTGACAGCCTCTCCCAAACCCTTGCTCTGGGTGACCAAGAGCTGGGGAGGTGCAGCTACAGAACACAGCAGCTTAGAAATGACCAGAAAACCCACCCCATAAATACCAAAGTCCTTGTATCTAATGGTCATATAAAAGATTGAAAGGATTAAATCTGATTCATCTCTTTCAGCACAGGAAAGGGGGAAAACTAAAAGGAATTTCCCAGTTCATTAGTTTGTTGATATAAAATGAATAGAAATCTTCCTTTTCAGTTGATGTTATGAAGTAGTTTTGTGTCCTCGCTGGCTCCTGCCCCGTCTTCCTCTTGGATTCCTTCTGCCAGTCCCTCTGCAGATTTGGTCTGGCTCCCTGCAGAGTCCATGAACATGTTGGGAATATCTTTGCCAAAGTAGATCTTGCTGTTGGCTGCAATTGCCTTGTACTTCATCAGCTGCAAGTACTCGGGAGTTAACTTGAGCTGCACGGAGAGAAAACGGGTCACAACTGCTGGGGTCTGGGAAAAGGGAATTCCTGCCTGATCACACGAGGCACAGCAGGCATGGCCAGCCCTCCCCAGGGAGAACACGGAGTGCCCAGAGCCAGGATCTCCTCCAGCAGGGCTGAGGGCAGCTCCAAGTCCCAGTGACCAAACACAGAATGGAAAGGGGTGGCAGCAGCTGGGGAAACGCTCAGACCAAGTGTGCTGAGAGGCTCGAGAGCACTTCCCTCACTGCAGCCCCTGCAAGGAGAGCTATGGAGGAGGGAAATGTCCCTGGCTCTTTTCCAGGGAGCAGATCCACCAGTGTGTGTGAGAGCAGCTCATTCCTTCGGGATAACGACCTTGTAAGAGAGGACAAAACCTGGGCACAACCAGCCCAGCCTCTGCCCCTCCTCACTGACCACACGAACTGGAACTTCCTGCTGGGATGTCCTGGGAGCTTGCTGCAGGCAGGAACACAGCTGGCAATTCTATCCGTGTCATTTTTCTGTTTCCAGGTTGGATTTTTTGTTGTTTTTACTTTGCAGCACTGAGGCTCTTCTAGGGTGTCCGAGATCAGTTATTTCCCTGTACTGTGGTTTATTCTGCCCCTGCCTGTCACCCTGGAGATCTCCCTGCTCTGCCTGCCAGCCTGAGACTGGAATGAAACCACATTTCTCATCACAACAGTGTGAAAGGGCAGCACTAAAGTGATATTCACAGAAAGCCACGGTCCTGTGAGCACCTGGCAGAGCAGAGATTTCACATACCTTGACACTGATCTGTCCAGAGAACAAAATGAACTTGTAAATAAGGAACTAATTGTTGACTAATTGTTTCAGATGGAAGTTTTGCTGAGAGAAGACGGCTTTGTTTTGCTTTTTGACTTAAACAAGGATCACTGCCTGCCCTTGTGCTGGTGTTTCCCTACAGCCTGGAGCCAGGGGCCCTGCTCTGAGGCACCACGAAGGAAAGCACAATACCTTGTTGGCCTCAGCCACCTTCATGGCAGTGTAACACTCAGCATCAGCTCTCGCCTTCTCTCGTGCAAGAAATGCAGCATCTGGAAGCAAACACACGCTCTGAGTCACATTTTCACTTCCAGCCATGTGAGCACTGTGTGCAGCTGGTAACTCTTCAGCAAGTGGCCAGTGCCACCTCTGAACTGCACAGGAAACAACCAAGGGAAGAGGGAACAAAATGGGAAACCCAGAAATGGGAGCTCAATTTACAGCTAAATGGCTGCAGGACGAGAGCATTGGAAGGGAATTGCATGTGCAACTGCAGAGCTCCAAGAACTTCACAGACATCAGGGTTTGATTATCCCCATCACGTGGGCTGAGCTCAGCCTTTCTTCTCCAGCCAGGGCTGACTCTCTGCTGAAAGGCAGCAACTGCTCTGCTGCAGATGTGGGATTCGCCCCCAGCCCTGCCCAGGACGCCAGGAGCAGCCTGGGCAGCCCAGCAGGCTCTCTGCAGATGAGGTCTGTGCTGTGGATGGGATTCCCAGATGGGATTTGGGATATGCACATGAAGGTTCTGGCACGCAGAGCAGGGGATTTTAACCTTTCCAGGCTCTGCCCCTTGCACAGATGCTGGAGAGCTTTTCTCTGCTGTATCAACAATTGCTCCAAGGCTCTGATGCTGTGGATACTGAAATTCCTGACTCCTGGCACAGACACTTAAGGAACATTTCCCCTTTCTGTACTGCACTCCTTTTTCCCTCTGCCTCTGCATCCATCCAGTGCTAATGATGGGTATCAGGCCAGCAGGTTCAAGATAAAATGAGTGGAATCCTGCCCACCTCCTGCCACTCCTCCTAAGGCATGGAGCCACACAATTGCAACACGTCAGCCTGGGTCTGAGAGCTGCACAGCTGGATAAACCATTTGTTTACTTCCCCAGCAGGGAGGCCTGGGAGCTGCTGCACTTAAAGATCCTGTGAACAGCTGGATGGTCTGGCCCACAGCTTCCTCTCTTGGCTATAAGGAGAGGTTGGTCCCAGTCAGAGAGACCAGGAAAAAAGGAGCAGGCAGGAATCCTCTGCCAGCACAGACCCAGACGGAGGGCTGACACCTGCTGACACAGTTATAAGAAATAAATCCCATTGTATTTCTGCAAAGAACTTCTAAATGAGAAGCTGCTTACCTGTAAAACCCTTAATTGTTCCTCAGTGGCTTCTGCAAAGCTTGTCAGGGCCTCTAATACATGTAAGGGGAAGAAAGGCCTTGCCACTCCCAAGCTGGAATTGCAGAGCCCTCTCCACGCCCTGGAGTTTCTCTGACAAAGCACTTTATCAGAGCGGTGAGGGAACATCTCCTTAAGTTCAAACTGCTACAAAGATCACCTTGAGAAAGGGAGTTTCAAGAAGCAACAGCCTGCAAAGGAATTCCTATTCCTGCCTGTGGTCAGGAACTCTACCCCTGTGAACATCAGCCTGGACTGAAGAACAGTCAACACATGCTTCAAGAACTCCTTGGTGAACTGCTTCAGGATTTACTTACTGCAAAGCTGACCCCCCACTCACCTTCAATCTCTGAAATTCGCTTCTCTGTTTCCTTTTCCATCACTTTCTGTCCATAAGTTATTTCAGCAACTTGTGCAATCTTTTCTGCCTCTGAAATGAAAACAAGAACACGCCCACACTGTCATCACACATCTTCCTAACACCAGCAGCAGCCCCACCCTGGAAAATCCTCACTCATCACCTACTTCAGGTGGAAATGAATGGTGGGAAAAATTTCCAGCCCACAGAGAACAAAGCTGGAACCCACCTGAAAAACTCCTGAGTTTCTCTGGGAAGGTTTCAGATCAGAGAAGGTCCCAGAGTGAACGTGGTGCATCCCTCCCTCCCTCCCTCCTCCCTGGGGTCTCTTTGCTGCCTGTCCCCCCGTTCCCCCTCCCAGCCCAGCCCCACAGACCGATCAGAGCTTTCTTCCTCTCAGTCTCTGCCTCCTTCTCCACCACCTTCTGCTTCTGCGCCGCTATCAGCAGCTTTGTCTTCTCACTCTCCCTGGGGAGCAGGAAAAACTAGTTAAAACCAGGAGCTCACTGGTGTGGGACTCACAGCACATCCCCAGAACGAGCTGCAGGCTCTCCCCTCCGTGTCCGGGGCGGGTGGGATCAGCAATGTCAGGGCAGGCACCTGCACAGAGCTCTGTGCCTAAATCAAAGCATTCTTTCCTCCCCTCCAAAGCAGGATGATTTCCCTGTGACACAGTCCCTGCAGGCTGCCCTGCTGCCTTTTCTACCTTACTGGTTTTTACTTACATTCATGAGTTTTTAAAGTGAACATAAATAAAAGCTCTGCTCCTGCTCCCAGTCAGGGAAGAGACCCTGGAACTGAGTCTCTCAACACGTCCTGCTGTGTTTATGGCAGCAGAGCACAGGCTGATTTGGGGCCTCCTGCCATGACCACAGCACGCAGGATTTGCCACAAGCCCGGAAGGTGACATGCAGAGCTGGGGGAGCAGAGTGGATGAGAGGGAGCAGAGAGCTGGCAGCTGGCTCAGGGCACTGCAGAGGGATCAGCACATCAAGTGCTGTCAAAGAGTTATTTCAAAGCTTTGCAAGTCTTCAGCTTGTTGAATCAACAGTTTCTCCATCCCAGTCAAACAAGAGGATTAGTGGTGAAATCCATCCCTCTGCCACTCAGCCTCAGCTCTGGGAGGGCTCTGGATCAGGGGCAGTGGCCAGGGGAAGGAGCCCCAAGGCAAACCACCCCTGTGCTCCAGGGCTCCAGTGAGGGCCCTGCCAGTGCTCAGAGCTGTCCTGAGGGCAGCAGGAGGCTGAGGGCACCACGATGCCCTAACCCCAAGTCCATCTGCCCCTCTGGGTCCTTTTGGGAACACATGGGTGCTTACATGAGCTCGTAATTCCTCCGGATCGTTTCAGGGATGTTTGGCTTCGTAACTCGAACTGCCTGCAGAGAGAGACACACAGGAGAACCTGGGCCAGCAGCCAAGTGGCCCCTGGGGCTGCAGGGGACTGGGGGTGGCACTCGGGGTGTCCTCTGCCACCAGAGTTGCACAGACTGTGACCAGCCCCAAAACCCACTGAGAAACAGCACTGAAAGGTCTCCTGACATGACAGGAGACTGTAACCTGGGCAAAGCAGCACCCAGAGAAACTCAAGGAGAAACTCAACACACCAAAACTCTCAGGAGACAAGAAGGACACTGTTCCCACTCCCCAGGTTAAATGGAATCTGTGCTGTAAAGCAATTTCCTAAGCAAATCTCAGTTTCTTGTTTCCTTTTAGCCCTTTTCCCTCTTCACAATCTGCACCTTCAATATCTCAAGCAAATCCTGATTACCTGTATAATTAACCCAGGGGCCATCGTGGTTAGGTCTTGCTGCAAGGCCAGTTTAAGGTTTTCATCAATTTGATCTGATTGGGGAGAAAAGAAAAGGGAATGAGACATCCCCCGAGGCAGTTTGCTGCCAGCACCAGAGTGAGCTGGGATGGCTCCCGTTTCTTATTCCTGGAAAGCACAAATGGGAGCTGAATGAAGAAGTGCTGGACTGACCCCGAGGCAGGCTCCCAGCAATGGGACACACCACAGGAATGCGGCAGGCATGAAAGGAAACCCTGCAGCTTCCCATGACCTGCAGTGTGGAACCTTCCTGAGGCAGATACAGCATCTTCACAAGCAGGAGTCTGTGCTCTGACCCTTCCCCACTGAACTCCCCCTCTAGATCCCAGAGTGACGAGGTAAATCCTGACTGATTCTGAGCTGCACCTGTGCCAGCAGGACACGAAGCAAATGGAAAGGCAGGGATGGGAAATGGCAGCACCAGTTACTTTAACAGGCTGCAAAAATCATCAGTAATGTCTCTTTGGCTCAAAGAGTCCCAGAACTCCAGCGTAGCTGAGGATTTCAAAAGGAAACACAACCTAAAACCCTGCTCTGATGAAAGCTCCAAGGAGGGCAGTGCTTCCAACTGGGGCCTGCTGGGAAGTGCAGAGGGAAAATCAAACAGTAACAGCCTTAAGAGGGATCACATCACACTCCTGGACTGTTTGCTTTGGTCCCAGTTTCCTATCTGGAGCTCAGGCTCCTAAGGAAGCCCAGCCAGGAGTTTGGGACGCAGCTGCTATCAGTTCCCTGCACCTGCTGGCAGATGTGGGGGCAGAGGGTGACGTGAGGCCGCTCAGAGTGGGGCACAGCCCCACTGCAGACCCGAGCCAGACCCAGGCAGCTCAGCCCAGGGCTCCCAGGGAGTTTGCACAAGTTCCTTCTGTGCAGAGCGGGAGCTTTCAGCCCATTTCACACAGCAGCTGCTGACACCTGGAGCCTCCACGGGCCAGGAACCCGCCCAGCCACCAGCAGGAGCTGGGAACTGGAACTGGGGGGATCTGAGCCCCAGGCCCACAGCTTGTGTGGGAAGGGGACCTTGGAGAGCCTGGAGAGAACAGGAGCCTGCAAGCAGCCTGTGCTCACCCTGGCACAAAGCCTGTCCTGCTGGGCCCCTGTGCCCACAGCCAGCACTGCCAGTGCTGGCAGCCTGGGAGGATTTCCTGCCAGCCCAGAGCCAGCTGCACTGGCAGCTGCTGGGCCAACCCCTCCAGGCAAGCACAGCTTCTGCTCAGCCTCTCCTGCCCTGTGCCTCCCTGGTGGCCCCCGCCAGCACTCCTGGTTCATGGCACTGCAGCCCCAAAGCTCAGCCAGCCTCGGGCCAGTGGTGCCTGCTCAGAGTTTCTGTGACAGCAGAAAATAGTCACTGTCTGTGGCCACAGCCCGCTCTTCCATCTGCCTCAGACAGCCCTGTGACCCATCCAATCCATCACAGAGAATGCCACAGAATTCCTGCTGCCTTCCCTAAAGGGAGGCTGCCTGGGCTGGGCTCGGAGCTTGTTGTTAGCACACACTGCAGCAGTCAGCTCCAAAAGATAACAGGATGAAGGCTGACAGCTGGCTAACAGCCCCAGCTCCAGGCGGGATTAATGGCTAACAGCCACCAGCGGGCTCTGAAGCAGCAGCAGCAACTCACCAAACAGCTCGATGTACACCTCCTGCAGTGTGTGCACACTGCAGAACTGGTTCAGCTCGTGGTGGATCTTGTTGAAGATGAGAGCCTTGTCGTAGTCAGCCGTGTAGTTCTTGACGATGTCGTACACTGGGAGAGGAGAGCAGAGAGCAGGGCTGGAGCAGGGACAGGAGGCTGAGCGCTCAGGGAGAGCCCTGGAGCTCGGCCTCAGGGCAGCATGAAATGAGGGCCCCCCCTGCCCTCAAACCTGCTCAGGGCAGGTTTGTTTACTGCTGCTGTTTTGTGGCACTCTCACCCACGTCTGCCCCCTGCCCTGCGAACAGGAGGGTGTGAAGCACCCCCAGGCTGTGCTGGGGCTGAAAACACACACACACACAGACACGCGCACACACAGACACGCGCACACACAGACACGCGCACAGAGACACACACACACAGAGACACACACACAGAGACACAGAGACACACACACACACAGAGACACACACACACA